ATAAGTATAAAAAAAAATTGAAAAAAAAAAAACATATTCACTAAAAGGTTTATAAATACTTTACACCCAATCATTGGTACAAGTAAATGTGAGAGCCATTTAATGAAGAAGGTAGACCCAATATTAGAACAAACGAAAAAAATTATGATCTTTAAGCATCATATGATATGCTATGAATATAGTACTCCTTTCCCAAGTAGAACTGAAAATTTTCATATTGTACATTTTACAATATTCAAGTTTTATTAGCACTGAAAAATATTGATGTTCTAGGATCATCTCTACTGAGAAAAGGTTAGATTGTGCAGATTTCCCTGAAAAAAAAAAAAAAGAGTATGATTGTGACTGGATTCATTTATGAAAAGGTTGTTAAAATTTGGATGATATCTAAAAAGGCAGCCAAATGCAAATGTCTCTTGTCGATACCGGCTGAAAAGGGTCAATATACATAGACTTACCTCGGCAAGCAGGATGACTGTTTTTGCTACTCAAACTTTGGCTGTTTAGATCGCAGAGGAACAACCTCACTCTAACACTAGAGCTCACCCTCGAATTTGGACAATATCTAGTTCCATAAATAAAGAATACAAACGCTTGAGGAAAAAACAAGATGTTACGATGTAGTATTTATTTGATGTAAGGAAAATAATTATTATACCACGAGTGTAGAACAAATAGCAAGAAAATTTATCTGAGTCATTTTGCCTTTTCAAATCATTTAGCACATTTAGTATCCATAACAATTTATGCAGATTCTTTGATGAATAATATGAATGAATAGGTGGAAAATGGGATCCAGATTTAGATGTGTTAAGCAGCATATGAACAGCAATCCACAATGACCATTAGCATAGATGCAGTCAATGTTTGTCCAACTAGGACTTGCACAAGCAATGGTAAAGAAGATCTAGTTACAATTTCATTTATTCAGAATTTGTTTGGTGAAACATGCATTTGAACATGCCAACTATCTAATATCAACCACAGCAACACTTGCTGTCATGGACCATCATGTGGACAACTAAGTTTTGAGCAGCAAAACTTTTGACAGATTGGTAGAATCTTGAGATGATTCGACCAAAATTCTATCCATTCCGACGGAAAACCAAGTTGAAAAGCTATATACCCTCAAAATTGGGACAAATTCGCCTGTTTATGATGTTTTAAGATTCCAGGATTTAAGCCTACGGTTTTATCGTGATCTGGAAGCCCATCATAGCAGTTGCAACCTAAAGATGATGAGAAGGTGGCGGTGGTAGTGGTAGTGGAGCAGAGAAGAAGAGGACGAAAAGGACGAGACCTGGTTTCCAAGACGATAAAGGGAGGACGGACGTACTTTCTCTCCTCTGCTATCTAGATTCTTTTTCCAGATTTTCTCCATATTTCTTCTTGAATTCATGTCAGACGACACTCAATCGATCAATAATTAAGTGTTAACCGGCGCTTGTGTGTTAATCTACCGAAATGCTTACGGTAGATTGCAAACGATGTTTCTTCGAGAACCGATAAATTCACATCAATTCTCACACAAAAAGGAGCTTTCGAACAGATTAGGGCATAAGCACCACAACAAAGAGTGATCATCCAAATTACAAGGACATTGGCGTTCGTACAAAATAAAGCGAACACAAGCAGGAGGGCTGCGTCAACAGAACTCAAACCCCAGCGATCGAAATGATACAAAACAAGCAAGCAATCGGAGGAAACAAAAGAGCGAAGAAACTTACTATGATCCAGATATGGAGGCATTAGGGTTCGTCGGAGAAGGCAGCGAGAGAGAGAGACAGAGAGGAATATGGTTCGGGAAATTAGCGCCTCAGGCGGTCACACCGTGTGAACGTTCACCGGACTCCCACAGCAGAAACTTGGGGCTCATATTCGCAGTCCAATTTCGAGATTGACGGTGGAGATGTAGTTGCTGGGAAGGAAGGCGGAGTGGCGGCAGGAATGGATATACGCACCAACGTTTTCCGTGCGTACGAAGTCGCCTCCAAAATATTATTTAATTCTTTTTATGTTATGAAATTTTAGTGCTGTCGGAGGAAAATATAGTTGATGTCTTCCTTAATTCGATATCATCTAGACTCATATATATATATATATATATATATATATATATATATATAGATAGAAAGACTTCTCGATATAATTCTTCATGCTCAAGTTAATAATCTAAGACTTTCAAATATATATTCAAATACTTAAAGAGTCATTTGGATTGGGTTTAAGATATTTTTTTATACTTTATAGAATTAAAAAAGTTATGATTATCTTTTTCGTCGTAATAGATGAGAAAAAACTTATGATTACCTTCTTTATCATAATAGATGAAAAAAATTATACTTATCTTGTTTGAGAAGAAAGCTTATATTTGTTATTTTAAATATTCATCTAATTATGTGTTAGTTGATGATAAATTCTTAACCGCATATGATACTTAGAAGAAGATCACAAATCATGATCATCATCATCATCATCATCATCATCATATATATATATATATATATATATATATGATAGGGCATACTTTGGCCAATCATCGGCAACACCATGCATTGTCAGCCACCAACGTAACGCCACACACCGTCAAAACCACAGGGTGCACGCCACATCAAGTTTGGTACCAATACACTGTGCAACTTAATCATCCCGAGAGTTTGGGGCAGTGTTGTCTACTCCTGGGGCAGAGCCATCTGACGCCACTCAAGCACCCCCAAATGTGACATCTCGTGAGAGAGGTGGTCCCGCCCCTAGGGAAGTCAGCGGCCACACCGATCCGAGGCCGAAATCAACCTTCGCACGCAGATATAAAAACCCCTAGTCGACGCCCGAGCGGGACCACCTCCGAGCGCCATTTTGTAGGAAGTCGGACACCCCCGAGCGACGAGCGCCTCAATCCGGGGATTGCCACCCAGTACAAAGGACGCACTGCCATTCATCTCGGAGTCGGAGAGACTCATCCCACCACAAACGATGCCCGAGTTAGCAAACTGAGAAACTCGGATCAACATCCTCTCACAAGGGTCCAGCCACCTCCGCCAGCCCGATACTTTTCTGAGTTGCTCCCAAACGGCCACTCCCAACCGGTGGATGCCTTGACCCAGGAGACACTTCCGTCGCGCAAAGGAGAGCAACGACCCGATCCAGATTCCGACCAACGTCAGCCAATATTTCTTCCCGAGGGCGCGGCCACCTCATCATCCTACCTACCCAACAAGAAGCTCCCGACATCGACCCGCGTACCTAACCGTGCTGACTCATCAGCCACGATACTTTTATTTTCTAACAATATATATATATATATATATATATATATATATATATATATAT